AACACGTACCATTTGTAACATATAACACTCATAACACTTAATACTTGTAAAAATAAACAACTCATAAGCTATAACACTTGTAACATATACCATTCATACCATATATCACTTGTAACATATGCCACTCATAACATATAACAATCATAACACGTAACTCATTTTACAAATAGTTCTCTGTCGCACCTGTATCATATACTACTCTCAACACGTACCTACCTGTAACATATACCACTTGTAACATATACCATTCATAACATATACTAATCGTAACATATATCTCTTATAACACGTACCAGTCGTAACATTTACAACCTGTAAAATTTACCACTCATAACATATAACACTTGTAACATTAAACACTCATAACATGTAATACTTGTAACATATACCACTCATAACACGTACCACTCATAACATTTACAACTTGTAAACATTACCACTCATAACATATACCACTTATATCATATACCACTTATATCATATACACAACTTATAACAGATACCACATGTAACATACCACTCATAACACATACCAATTGTAACATATAACACTCATAACACGTACCACTCATAACATTTACAACTTGTAAAATTTACCACTCATAACATATACCACTTGTAACATGTACAACTTATATCATATACACCACTTATTACATATACCACATGTAACATACCACTCATAACACGTACCACTTGTAACATATAGCATTCATAACATATAACAGTCATAACACGTATCTCATTTTACAAATCGTTCTCTGTCGCACCTGTAACATATACCACTCTCAACACGTACCAACCTGTAACGTATACCACTCACAACACGTACCACACGTAACATATACCTATCATAACACGTACTGTTTGCAACATATACCTCTTGGAACATATACCACTCAAATTCTGAAAATTTCGTTATTTGCAGTCTAGTGCACCGGGGAAGCCTCAGGAGTGATTGAAAATGAAGAATACAAATTTCGATTTTTTTCGAAACATCCAAATTTCGAATTTTTTCGAAACATCCAAATTTCGAAATTTTTCTAAAAACCCAAATATCCTAAGCGCTATACCCAATACAGATGTTCAGGAGTGATGGAAACTGAAAAACAAAAACACAAAAATTGGAAATGTTTTGACAATTCCAAATTTCCTAGGCACAATCCGTCATACAGACGTTTGGACGACTTGTAACTACAGAACGATTTTTTACTATTATTCTTCGTGAATTCCGAAAATATTTGGTGTTTGCATGTCAGGACGGCACCAGGAAAGTCTTGGGAGTGATGGAAACTGAAAAATAAAAATTTCGAAATTTTTTGACAAATCCAAATTTCCTACGCGCTATACCAAATACAGATGTTCAGGAGTGATGGAAACTAGAAAAAAAAAACAATAAAAAATTGGAAATTTTTGACAATTCCTAATTTCCTAGGCACAATCCGTCATACAGATGTTTGGACGATTTGTAACTACAGAACGATATTTTTACTATTATTCTTCCTGAATTTCGAACAAATTTTATGTTTGCAGGTCAGGACGGCACCAGGAAAGTATCGGGAGTGATGGAAACTGAAAAATAAAAATTTCGAAATTTTCCAAAAATCAAAAATTTCCTATTTTTTGCGAAAAAAATTTGTTTTCCTGAAATTCGGAATTTTCTAAAAATCCAAATTTCATCAGCGTTCTACCCAATACAGATTGGTGTTTGCAGGTGAGGACAGCACGAGGAAAGTCTCGGGAGTGATGGAAACTGAAAAATAAAAATTTCGAAATTTTCCAAAAATCCAAAATTTCCTATTTTTTGCAAATTTTTTTTCCTGAAATTCGGAAAATTTCGTTATTTGCAGGCTTTACAGCACCGCGGAAGCCTCAGGAATGAATGGAAATAAAACATCCAAATTTCGAATTTTTTCGAAAAATCAAGATTTCCTAGGCGCAATCAGCTATACAAATGTTTAGACGACTTGAAACTAACCAACAAGTTTTGGCTTTTGTTTTTTCTCTTACTTCCAGTAGCAAAATTTCGGTGTATACGAGAAGAGTAAACTAACCAACGATCAATTTTGTCGACATTTTTATTAAAATATTGAATTCACTCAGTGCACAATGTAGTGTTGATTTCAGATGACACAGCAACAAAATGGGTATGAAATGTGGTGATTGTCAAATGTCAGAATGATCACTGGAGAGGAGGAATACATATATTTCTACCACAACCTGCGCATGTTATCTGACGCCCAGACTTATCATTAAACACCATGTCCATTGACAGGAAAATCTATTGGACGAGATGAAAGTAATGAGAAAGAAGTTCTGGAAATTGCACGCCATCTTAATCGTGTCTGCATTCACATTTTTGCCGTGAAGAAGCACTACTCTTATCCGCAATGAAATCTAGTTGGAATTTTGTTTTAGAGATAAACAATTTGTGTAATTTTGATGAGCTAATCAGACAACCTAAGATGTATTCTTACCCTATACAATCCTGTACACAATATATATAGTTTTACATTAAAAAAAGCTTCTGGTAAGAAGAAATTCTACTACTCACATGCACGCAAATTTGCCCGTCTGAAGCGGACAAATCTGTAGTCATAGGGATTAATTTCAGTTTCGGTCAGCACGTTGAATTCTAGACATGCCAATGACCGTTTTGAGTCAAATTAAGCCGCATACTCCACTACTGGTGGTGCCCTTCTGTCAATTCCTGTAAGTTTCAGCTTTGCAGCATACTTCCCCCGGAACCCAAAAACTTGGGTTTCCCGTAAGCTGCCCGCCGAGTCATTGAAGCAACTCCGGCGGATCGCTAGTTGGCATCGTTTATGGTTAGAACTACGACGGTATCTGATCGTCTTCGAACCTCTGCCTTCGATCTTGTTTAATTAAATCATTCTTGGCAAATGAGAGAGGATCACCATCAGCGCGTGGCCGGTGACTAAACTCCAGAATGGAGGAGCTTGCGCCCCACTCTCCGCTTTACTGAATAAGTAAAGAAACGATAAAAGTAGTGGTATTTCAATTTCGTTTGCACTCCCACTTATGCTACACCCTTCATGTCTGTTCACAAAGTCGGACTAGAGTCAAGCTCAACAGGGTCTTCTTTCCCCCCGCTGATGTTTCCAAGCCCATTCCCTTGGCTGTGGTTTCGCTAGATAGTAGATAGGGACAGTGGGAATATCGTTAATCCATTCATGCGCGTCACTAATAAGGTGACGAGGCATTTGGCTATTTTAGATCAGTGCTCTCTGTAGCACCGATTCTTTTCGAGTATACCTCTCGTAAATATCACTAATCTTGCCCTGTATCTCATCAAGCAATGCTTCCATTACTGGATGACGGCTTGTAAACGGCGCTACACGGATTAACAAAATTTCTGGCACCCCACGTGGACGGGAGCTTATGTCACCGTAAGGATTTGTCGCAACTTTTGGTGGATCCTTTTCAAACTCGCCAGGCTAAAGTGGGGTGTATCATGATGGAACTAGGGTAGTACTTGGTGCACAAATCCGGGATACTAGCCAGGGAATCCCGGGCATGCTCCGTGCCTCCGCACTATGACTGCACTGTCGTCAGACTAGTAAGCCAGGGGTCCCGGGGTCAATTCCTAGCGGAGGCATTGAGATGAAAAATGACATCTGTTACATTAAGAAAAAAATGATTCCAAATATTACCCCGAACGTTCAGTTACCGTTAAAACATATCATTGAATATTATATTGTTCATACAAACTCTCATCACCCACAGGGAGAATATATTAGAAGAAATACTTTAACTAGAAAGAAATAACGTTAGAGAAAACTTACCATAAAGACAAAACCCCGAGGAACCTGACATTTTAACATCTGTCTAATCCGCAAGTCAGGATTCAAATGTACCCCGATATAGTAAAAGACAAAAGACAAATGTAGTGTTCTATATTATAATTATTAGTGTGAGCAAGGTGGACGAGTCAGAGTGATCTCCCCTTGTATTAAAGCGCTTGATTAACCTGACATACACTTGCTCCTGAAACGCCATTGTTGTTGTGATTTAATTCGCTGGTCATAGTTAGTTTAATCAGTAATGATTAAATTCCGAACCAAAATCGACACTACAATTTGGCGACGAGGATGTGGTAAAATTACGGCGTATGTGTAAAACATGTCAGTTATAGAACTCAATAGTCCACATGGTGAGCCCACCACACTGGGACAAACATGGACGCGCTGGATAAGAGGATTTGAACTATTTGCTGAAGGGAAAGGTTGAACAGATCATGATCAAAAAAGAGCATTATGATTACATTGTGCAGGACATGAGGTACAGGATATATTTTTCACACTGGCGGAGGCGGAAGGCGACAATTCAAATTTGAAAGCAAAAAACACCCTGACTGCTCACTTCAAAACGAAAGTAAATGTGCCATATGAACGTTATAAATTCATATCATTAAAGCAATCTGAGACAGAAACAATTGAGCAATTTATTGTTAGACTTCGTCAACAAGCAGTCTTATGTGAATTTGATAAACAGGATGAAAAAATTTGTGATCAGATGATAGAAAAGGGGAAATCAAATAAGATTAGACTGAAACTTTTAGAAAAGGGTCATGATCTAACATTGGATCAGTTATGTACAATTGCAATGACAATTGAAATGTCAGAAAAACAAGGCAAACAAATGTGAAACTCTGACATTGGTTCAGTAAATCATGTAAATGGAAACCAAGGTGCTAAGCCTAAAAAAAATCTCACAGCTTTGGTACATCAAATAAAGAGGTATGTTATAGGTGTGGTAAAGAGGGTCATTTCTCCAGGGACCTCAATTGTCCAGCAAAGAATAAAAGGTGTAACAAGTGCGGTAACATTGGTCATTTCGCTGTAAGATGTTCCACAAAATCAATTCATGGAAAGGGGGAATTTAAACGCTTTTCAAATTCAAAAGGCAGAGGTAGAGGATCTGGAAGGGTTAGACATGTTGATGAAAAGGAAGATGAGGATGATGAATATGCATTTAGTATGAGACATGCAGGAAAGTCTGACTGTATTATTATTGAATTAGGTGGTTGTAATCTGCCAGTCATTATTGACAGTGGTGCGTCAGTAAATTTGATTGATAGAGTGCTATGGGAAAAACTGAAATCAGAGAATATTGCATGTAAATCAGAGAAAACTGAAAAGAAATTGTATGCATACAAACCAGAGAAACCATTAGATCTTCTTGGTAAATTTTCATCTTACATTTGTCTCAAAGGCTCAGATCAGGGGTTTGAAACTGATTTTTATGTAATCAAAGGAAAGGGGCCTGCACTGATCGGTTGTGAAACTGCAAAACGTCTAGGAGTGTTGTCATTAGGTGTCAACCTAGTAGAGGGAGATGTGTTCGAACGTTACCCAGAATGCTTTTCAGGTTTTGGAAAATTAACTGATTACAAGTTGAAACTGGACATTAATTAGGAAGAGCAGCCTGTCATTCACCGCATGTACAAAGTACCTTTTAGTTTGCATCAGAGAGTAAGTGACAAGTTAGATGAACTTGAGACTATGAACATTATTGTTGATGGTGTAAGTGACTGGATTAGTCCATTTATAGTAGTTCCAAAGCCTAATGGTAATATTCGTATTTGTGTCGACATGCGTCAGGCAAACAAGGCTATTATTCGTGAGAGACACCCAATACCAACAGTGGATGATGTGTTGTATAGCATGAATGAAAGTGAAGTTTTCAGTAAACTTGATCTCAAATATGGTTAGCATCAGATTGAATTGGATGAAGCATCAAGGGAGATAACCACGTTCGTCACGCACAGAAAAAAGTATCAGCAGATCATTTCGCAAGTACTGAATGACATTCCTGGTGTGAGAAATATCTCGGATGCTATTATTGTACATGGAAAGAACAAAGCAGAACATGATAACAACCTTGACAAAGTCATGCAGCGCTTGTGCAATAGAGGTCTTACTTTGAACCATGAGAAATGTAAGTTCGGGATGGACAAGATTACATCGGTCACGTGCTTTCAAAAAATGGAATGGAACCAACATCCGAACATGTTAAAGCTGCCATGGACGCTAAACAGCCAAACTCAGCCTCAGAAATCAAAAGTTTCTTAGTGCTTGTAAACTACATTCCAGATCTTGCCACAATTTCAGAACCGCTACGTAGATTGACAAGGAAAGGTGTAAGCTTTGTATGGGGCCCGAACAAGCCAAAAGATTCAAAAGCTTGAAGGAAAGTCTTGCAAATTCAAAAGCTCTTGGACATTTTCGCTTAGATGCTGATAAAACCAAGTTAATCACGGATGCTAGTAATGTTGGACTGGGGGCAGTTCTACCTCAGGAGTACAATGGCACTTTTGGGATGTCGAGATAAGATATTCAACTATTGAAAAGGAAGCACTTGCTTTTGTATGGGCATGTGGACGTTTTAATCTGTATCTCCAATGTGTTCATTTTGGACTTTTCACTGATCACAGACCACTTCATTTTCTACTTGTTGTCAAATCAAGGCCGAATGCACGTATGGAAAGGTGGCTTATGAAATTAATGCCATATGACATTACAATTCAGTATATACAAGGCGGACAAAACAGATTCGTTATCGAGATTAATATCACAAGTTGAATCAGATTTAAGTTTGAAAAGGATACAGAGGAATATGTGAAATTTGTTGCAAGGGAGGCTACTCCCAGAGCGTTGACAACTCGTGAAGTAGAGGAAATGTCAAAACACAATAGTGAACTCGAGGAGGTGAGAAGATGTATGCATGAAGCACGTTGGGACAAATCCTGCGTGAATTATTTGCCTGTCAGAAATGAACTAAGTCAGATTGGTAATTATCTAGTATTGAGGGGAACACGTCTAGTTATTCCCTTAGAACTGAGGTTTAAATATGTTGAACTTGCTCATCAAGGGCATCTCGGTATAGTTGGCACGAAACAACAGTTGCGTAGCAAGGTATAGTGGCCTGGAATGGACCGTGATGTCGAGAACTTTGTTAAATCATACCATGGATGTCAAATCGTAAGTTCGATGCCTAAACCAGACAACAAAACTACCTACTGGACCATGGCAGGATGCAGCTATTGATCTCTTGAGGCCATTACCATCTGGAGATAGTGTACTCGTTGTCGTTGTTTATTACAGTCGTTATTACGAAGTGACAATAACGAAGGATACATCAAGTGGTAAGATGATAGATGCACTTGAAAACATGTTTACTCGCCATCGACTACCATTGTCTATTACGTCTGATAATGGTCCGCAGTTTAAGTCTGAACAGTTCAAAGATTATCTGTTGTCGAATGGAATTGAACATAGATTCATAACCCCATTACACCCAGCAGCAAATGTCGAAGTAGAAAGACAGAATCGTTCTTTGATGAAGCATATTAAAATTGCTCATGGAGAATCAAAGGATATGTATAAACTATGTGATGCGTTCATGGACTATTTATTTAGCAAGGGCTCATATACATCCTTTTTTTAGAAGATTTTAGTTGGCATATTATAACAAGGAATTAAGCAGAGACCAGATTAGAGAAGGAATGTATTTAATGTGCATAATTTATCTATTTTTTAGGTTGAAACATGGCCATGGGTAAATCATTTTACTCAAAATGGTGATAAATGGAGTCAACAAACAATATACCACACCATCCCGGCTAGTGATGTGGAGAAGGTGCAGCAGCCCCCAGACATCTCCACTGCAGGATACAGGATCTATTACAAGTTTAATGGTATAACTATTACTATAACGCTGTTTCAATCATTGCTAAAAATAATTCAAAAGATAAGATATAAATATTAAACCAGTTTTAATAGAGCATCAAAACAAATTTACTTTACTCATTGCTTAAAATGATTAAAAGTATCTGATAGTACATAAAAACAACACTTCGTTAATGTCAAATTTCTAAATATTACATCTGCTTCCAGACTTCTAACTGATGTGAGACAAGCTGGCCATAGAAGATCATAAATGTCTAAAATAAAATTCATTAATGAATTCTTTGTTTTAAATCTCTGTTTTCTACATCACTTGCAACATCTGTGTCAATTTGTTACGTCCAACCGAACTTCAAAGAATTTGAAAATTTGGCAAGGTTTGGAATAATTTCTTCAATCTTGAAAATTGTGAATTTTCATGAAAGAAATACAACAATACGGTTTCCTTTGAACTTTGATGCTTTGAATAACTCCCAAAATGGTGCATAATACTGTTACGTCCATCACGCCATTAAAAATGGTTAAATGGTGCTTTTTGGAAGTAAATACTTTATTTCAAAGGAACACTCTGATGATTCTACTCTATATTTTCTAAATGGTTAAGAAAGACTTGAATATTTTGTGCTGAAAATGCCAAAAAACAAGGATTTTAAATGTCAATGTTACATCCATCACAGTTGCCCCCTTGGACTTTGAAGTATTGTATTTTAAATTAAAGTATACCAGTTATCTTTCAACAACATTTTAAAAGTTGGTGTGACGCCCGTAACTATTTCCATTTATCTGATCATTGCTCATATCTGTCTTCCTACCATTAAAAAGGACTGAATAAGCATGACCTATGTGTATCATTTCTTAAAATAAAATCACAGTGCCAAATATGGTTACTTTTTGAACAGGACTGTATTGATTTAAACAAATTGCCATCTTCAGATAATAACAAACGATCCTTTGAAATTTTGTAGTTGAGTACCATGACTTGTGGTTTCATTGAGGGGAATTGGAAATGTAGTGACTTTATAAAGTTGCAATGTAATAGTTGTAATTGGAAAGTGTACTGAAATTATAATGGCACATGACTGCATAACGCTGAGCACTTACTGCTTGACATGGTAAGTCTAGACATTTATTTTGTTTCCAAAACCTCAGTTTATTTGTTAGGGTATTTTTAGTCTATTGAATTCGTTTTTTGTTTATCATGGCATGATATTTCTGAAGCTCAATTACAGGTAGATCTATATACATTAACAGAAACAGAGTAGCAGGCCTAAGTTTGGTTGAAGCCCGCTTTCTTGCAAATTAGATAATAAGTTATGATTGTCTTATGTAATTTATAGTAATTACAGTGTATTTATTAGTATTAGGTAAAGTAATATTTAATATGAAATGACTTTGTTTCAGGCAGGCCTAACGGTTTGAGGAAGCTATTTTTACATTGGAAATGGTCACGTGTTGTTATGTTTACATGCTGTTCGCGGCCATCCGGTTGCATTGACCAAGATAAGACGCACAAGAGTTATAGATTAAAATTAATACTTAGATTATTCTAAATGGTTGAAGAAATTACTTATAATTTTAGGAATACTTTTATTTTTGTGCTTTTGAATTTCAAGAAACATTTCTAATTCTTGTTTTAGAACGTTTATTAAGTTAACTTGATTTGTTTGTTATCACTCATACAGTAACCCTTATAGATTATGAATCCAATGAGTGTTAGTAAAATATTTATATTCACATGGTTGTCACTGTGGAGTTTATAACCTAGCATGTTATCATGTCTTTTCGATAGCCTATCAACTCAAAAATTTTATTCAGTTGATTGTTTATAGGAACTATAAAGTCACATTTTGTAAAAAAGTGATCAAAATCTTTATATTTATATAATAACTGATTGTTTATTAAGATTTTATGAATCAATTTCCATCGATATATTCTCAGCTTATTATCATAAATGTGAGTGAAAGTGAATTTCAGTGCATTTGCCATTTTTTTTTTGTCTAAGTCTTCTTCATCAGGAAATTGGGAAGCCCAATAGATGTAGGAAATTGGTTTTTGGGAGTTTAAGTGTTTAAGATAGTTGTATATTTGTTTGTTGCACAACTTATCTAATTCCCATATAGCTGTTGATGTTTTCAGTTTTATAGTAGGTTTAAAAGGTTCTGTATTCCATATATGTTTGTCTATATTTGAGTTTTTTAATTTATTTTTCCATTTATTTGGAATGGATTTCTTTAAAATAGCGAATTCTGAAATCCAATCGTGTTTATTTCTTAATTTTGCTAATATAATATTTTCATTAATATTTCCTTGATTATCTAATAAATCTTTTATTCTTATAATATTTGATTCAATCCATTTTTCAAAGACTATAACTTTATTTTGATATGTGATGAATCTATTTCCCCATATTATCTGGCCTCCAATGTCTACAGTGTGTTTTGGATATTGTTTTTGTCCCTCTCCCATTTCAATCCAGGCCTTTATAATTTTCTTATAAAATGTGGGAATGTCAAATTCTTTCAGTTGGTTTATATTATCAATATTCATAGCAAAAATTATGTATTTTCTCCCAGCCTTGGTAAGGTATCTCCCCGGAATTATTTTCCATTGACTATCCTGTTCGTCTGTTAGCGCTTTCATCCATTTTATTAACATTAATTTAATATGTGCTGTGAGGTCAACTGTATTTAATCCTCCCCTCTCATAATTTTCAACTATAGTTTTTCGCT